TTTGTAGCCAAACTGTTATTTGAATTTTATCTGTTTTTGACGGTTTGAAAACAATGAACGCACAGCTCTGCTTATTCTTTTTAGTATGTAAGTTTGGTATTTATAATTGTAGTTGTTATGTTACGATATCAATGAATGTGCAGGTACGGATTAATGGGGAAATTTTCGTTCAATTCATCTCACTATGACGCATACATATCTAAGGTTTAGGAATGAGTGCAATTGCGCCGTCTTGCAACTCGTTCTTCAATTACAGTTGCACCCATTACCACCCTAGATCCGTACCTGCACCAAGTATATAGAGTTAAGAATATGGGCCTTTTGAATTAAGACGTTTCGTTTTAGTAACACTAGTCGAAGGTCATTCCCGTAAGTACTAAGGGCTCACAAAATCGCCCCGTCATTACATTTATGCTACCGTACGAAACGTCTAAATTAACAGCGCCCTAAATATCACTGCAGTCAAAATTATGTGACAACACATCTGTAGTATAAGGATATCATGTAAGAGTGTGACCCAAGCTCAGAATGAAGTCACTAGGGGACCATAAAGATGATTTATGGGTCTCACCGTCCTACCTGAGAGAAGCCGTGAGGTCAAATGCCAGAAGTTCAAGGGTACAAGCTAGAAATAGTCTCCAAGAATCAGTTCACAATCATTAAGATCAGAAAACGGTTAGAAGTGTACAGGTAAACCTATTTTATTTATCTTTTCAAATACTGGAACTTTTCTGGTATTTGTAGGTGCCTTTACTAACAAATATGTTACAGTCAGCTCTGAAGAGTTACAAGTCTATCAAATGTTTGTTTTGGGTGGGAGTTGCTCAGCCCCTGCGTCCTACAACATTTTTAACATTAGCCTCACCCTTAAACCTCCGTAAATTATCTTTCATACACCGTTTGGCCGGGCTATAACTGATATGACTTCTTAATTTTATCCTCATTCTCTGTCAATGTTTCGATTTTACTTTATCTTCATTTGAACGAATCTTAACAGTAGAGCTACAAAGAAGTACATTGTAAAATAAAGTTTCCTTTATGTACGAAAGTGTCTGTTACAAATGAGATTTCTCCCGTTACTGCGAGGCATCGAATAAATCTTAAATATAGCGCCGGCTGCCTCATCCAGCCTTTTATAGCCCGCTTTTCTAGGTCATTGGGACGTTAAACACTAGAGTGATCAAGGGAGCGACAATAAAGCAGATAAAAGAACTGCTATAAGGTTTTTTATTACAAAAACCTCATTTCTTTTCTTTTTATATTTCTTTTTCGGCAGAGGTATGAACGGCCACTTCAAATCTTATTAATCTATTAACAAACTAATTGGTCACTAATGTACACTCTACACATTGCTCGACTTGGGAAACATCTTTTTCTATTGCACAATTTATTAACTGTAATACTGTGTATGTGAACTTGTGGTCTGGTTATCGTCAAATTTTTATAAACCATGCGTACACACCTTGTTTAGTTCATAATAACAGATTACATAATGTATTACATATCTTCTATGGAACGAAGAAGAACTTTTCTCTTCGTTTTGAAATTCATTTTTAATCAATCTAACAATACTATGATTAGGTACATTTTGAATAGTTTAGAACACTAACGTCACTGTAATAAAGTTGAAAATAAATTTCATAAACCAGAAATGAGCTGGGGTCTGTACATTAAAAAAATCGGAGCGAAACATATAGTAATATCTATTTAGTTTTACCTCTATGGAGTATTAGTTAAGAGTCCTCTTATCAAGATTGGTTTGTCCTTACGTCAGGTCAGTTATTACTACTAATTACTACTCCTACTAAAAACGAAGTATAAACTATACTTGGTACATAACATGTCTACATAGGTTGTAAGTATATAGTACTGTGAATGAATTGACAAGGAGTTGCATTCATTCACTATTCACGAGTAGGAACTGTGAGCATGGTCTGCATATTAAACACAATCAATAGTTGCAATTACTTTGTATTGTAGAGTGAACTTAAATGTTTCAATTATAATAGTAAAGTATCTAGTAATATCTATGCATAAATATAAGGTCTAAAATCCTTTGTTAGTTGTAACTTGTAAAAGTCATAATAAAAATGTAATATTCGTCATCGTCCATAGCTTAGTGACTACGCTAAACATGTAATCTATAGAAAACTTCAGATGAAAAGTGGCCGTTCTACCTTCGCCTATAAATCTAAAATAATCACAATGTAGTTACATTAATAGTTGAGGAATCTAAAACAAACATTCCCGTTCTAATAACCGCAATAACACAAAATAATAATGATGAAACCATTGCTGCATTGTTCTAAATCGGGACGGTTATCCTCAAATATATCTGACTCGTTCTACCCTTAGTTGCCTTCATATGCCTATCTCTCTTCCTCTGACGACTATTGATAAATAAATAATGGAGTGTGGTCATCATTTAGGACTAGGTTTTCCTTGTACTCTTATAGATGAGGACTAAAAAGATTGTTTGTTTGAGAGTAAAAAACAGCTTCATTTTCAAAATTTTCGTAACGAGGTAAATACACCAACGCAATTACCAAAAATACTTTCGGAATACTTCGTAAAACTTCGGCTAAACTTCGTAATATCATCGGTGAAAACAAAGACGTGCTATTTTTCTTTTGTTGCTCCTGTTTGTTGAAAGTTTTAGCTGTTTTTTCAATGACTTGTGAGGCTTCGTCACCTTATACTTTGATAATATCACTTGAGTGTGGATACAATGGGGTTTTATAACAAAAAAACTATACGTTGGTAAGCCCGTACAAATAAAGCGAAAGAGGTTTAATGTGCAACACTTTTGTAGCTAAATCGTAGTGCACCACTCTAGAAAACTCACAATTTTATACAAAAGTCGTAAAAATAAATACGGAGAGCAACCAGATAAAATATTGGAAATCCTTTAGAAAATCGTATCTGTAAGAAATCCTAAAGTACCTCGCAGGTGAAGGCAAGCGTTTGAAGATTTTAAAAGCATCCACGAAGGCTTTTATCATCGTACCAATACATTTCCAATCTCATGTCTCGACCAAGTTTTCTAATTCCTGATAGATTTCGTAACGTAAAGGTTATTGAAACAGTTCATGCGAAAATAGACTTTACAGAAGCTTTTAGTTTCAAGTGTTTTCAATCCAAATTGAAAGGAACATATGGGATGTAATTGCAAACGTATTTGCGACAGGATTTTAAGATGTAATCAAATTATTGAAAGATTAAAAAAAAATGGTTTCAGCACAATTAGTAATTTTGTTGTTGCTATCGATCTCCGATAGAGTTGCTATTCGATTCGATTACAATGCTATTCGATATCAAAGGATTTATCATCAATTTTTAAAATTAATCGCGTCAATTTGTTATGGCAGCGTGTGCTGCATGAAATGGGATTATAGTCCCGAGTGTGGCCCTCGGATGGGGTATTAAAATGAAATTTGTTTAATCCACCATACATTTATTAAAAACATACATAATATACATATCTCTAAATCCCCAAAAATGTTATTTCATTTGCAACACAACAATAAAATTGAAATTACACGCTTGGAATTAAAACCTGGAAAATGCTATAATTGAAGGAAAAAAATTATAATTGGAATATCAGAGGAAAAACTTATTATCTCGGTGTACAATATTTCATTTAATCATGTACTTGAAGATTAGAATACCGAGAGACCGGAATCCCAGAGGGAACAATACCACTACCATAAGTTAAAAGCGATAGTATTTCTCGATATTCGAGAGCGACGACGTATTTTTTATATGGCTAATGTTACAGCGCCTCTAGTAGTCACTAACGGAACCAAAATATGTCACACAACAAAATTCACGTCGTCGCTATCGAGTCCCGAAAAATAATATTACGTTGAACTCAAGGTAGAGGAACAGAATGCAGATAGGAGTTGAAAGAAGCTTCCAATTGCGTAATTCTTTGAACGATTCGAAATACCTAATGTAATCGAATTCACATTAAATGGAATCTCTCTGTTTATTTGAATTGTTCCGTATGTTAGAAGCAAACTCCAATTTCCTTGTTATATTTCTAAAGTTTGATTGTTATCATGTTATGGGAAGTAGGGGCTGTGCCAATAATATGCTACCCACTAAGCAATCACCGCCATTGTGCGCGGTCGTTGACACTTTCAAACTGTCGCATTATTCAGTAAGTGGGTACATGTTTACATCCTAACACCTTTATTCACAAACAACCTGTCTGACGTCCGTCCTGTCGAGTCGATGGAATGAGACGATGAGACTATACTTATAGAACACTACTCTATTTGTTTGTTTATCCTCAAAACGTAGTTTATTGTCGTCGTCCGTTGTTCCAACGAACAGGGACATTGTATTGTTGTTCAAATACTAATTGTTAAGCAAATTGTTGTTTTTAGGGCCGCTCCCGAAATATGCTTTTGATTTATTAATATTCTCCTCTACAAAATTACTTATGTCGGAACAAAGACAGGTTAAATAATACTGCTGGCTGTAAACACCTGGTTTTGACAGTCTAAGGTTCAGTTAGGTTATTATATCTATGCAATATTTTGGTATGGGACAACATGTATCTGCATGGTGCAGTGCATACCGCTTCTGGCAGATTTAACAAATCATCCAATTATCAACATTATAATAAAGCTACTGACAGACTAATGAAACAAATGAACGAAAAGGACATGGCTGATACCTATTCAAAATTAAATGACAAAATTTCTATAAAAATATTGGCGAACGTGATATAAAATCCCAACCTCACTGTGAACAGTCGCGTCAGTAGCTTGATCTGCTGTTAGGAAAAAAATCGACAGCAAATTTATTAAACACAATTGGCATACATCTATTAAACTAACTTTTGACTACAATTAAATAATGTTGATAATAATGCCATCATTTACTAATATAAAATGTGTTTGTGTTCGTTTGTATGTGTCTGTTAACTAATACGTAATACACATAAGACACCAAGGTATACGTTAGTATATGATTTTGTTCTTTTGTCCCAGAAATTTGAAGAAATGGAGTTTTCATTTCGCCCCATATCCACGTCGCCAATTTGTAACGAAAGTAACGACTATAAGATCGATGTAAGTAAAACAGTATTAATGTACAGATCATACACTATTTGCTATTAGTAAGCAGGAAGCGTATATGTAGTGGAAGCGTTTTAGTGTGAGACGAAATAGCAACTGCATGACATTGATACGATCAAGCAATGAAAGGAAGCAAATAATTTAGAATCGCGGAGAAACTGAATGAAGGACTTGATCGTACGGAGATATGATTGAGTAATTCGTGGTGAGGCACGTTTAGACGCCGGCAGTGCATGCTTCCAAATCAATCATTAGCGGCCATCTTGGAATATTGTTGTTTGCACACACATTTGCACTCCTTAGGATGAAATGTGTTATTGTAGTTTAGATATAGCTTAGAATTTTCAATTTTGCATTGTAGTATTGGTTTTGCATCCACTTTTATTTTAAGGAAATTCTTTGATATTTTTTAGAGGCATACATTTTGTAATCTGGGCGTACGTAAAGTGTTTTAAACAGCATCAATCTTATAACACGACTCCCTATAACTCAATACTACAAGGAATCGTGTGGAAAGAATACAAAGAATCTCATATTAAAATTCAGATATTTCGTTTCGATACGAAAAATATTCTCTGTTAAAAATACGAGTTACGCGCGGTCCAGTTGATTCGCTCGCGTACATTTGGCCCCGATCCGTCCGTATACGTGCAATAAACTCTAACCCAGTCAGTACCGACGTATTTTTAGAATCGTCTACATGCCCGAATGCCCGAAAGCAAAACATTGAGCCAGAAAGAAATGAGAGGGATGGATGCGGCATCATAGGCCATATGAAAATTGGGATATCGAAAATTTATAAGATGTTTGTATGCCTATTTGATACGAACTTGTTAAGTGTTGACAAGTTTTGGGTTCGAGTCCCTCGTCAAACGAAGCAAGATTGGGATTCGAAATTCTCATTCATATTTTAAGCAATAAAATTGCCATATAATACTATGTACGACGTGAATTAAGTACACGAGTGAAGTTCAAGTCCTTCAACATTCAGTTTTGACGCTCCTTTCGTTGCTGTGATCAGTGTTTGTGTTTGCTTTGCTTGTTTTTTATTTGTTGCCAATGTAATAGTGTGATGTTTTCACCCGTAATTGCCCACTAGGGGCAATGTCATTACGACTTTGTTGACTTGCAAAAATTCACCACCAACAAAAAACTAGTAGCACAATTTCAACTTAATCCACCGTTTCGCACACAAAAATGGTAAACAATTGATTTTTTATCCACCGTCTGTCTCAGAGGAAATCCTCTGGTTTATAATTAACTATAGTGTGCAAAACAGTGCAAAAAGGTAATAAAAGAACCTTGAGAGGTCAACTGAAAACCGCAGACCTTATATAATTGAATAGTAATTAGAACCATTAAAGTCATTAAATCTTTAAGCACTAAACTAAACAACATCCGTAATAACAAAAGTCATAAATTCCATGTTCGTTATAAACTGTGCTATCTCATAACCATCAACAGTATCGAAGCTTTAACTGTAACAAAACATCTAACCTCATATCATTGCTTGTGTTATTGGCTTATCGTTCACAAACTGCTAAACATACTCCCGGGTTCGAACCCCGGTTCGCAATTAAACATAGCAGCAAGGTCCCAGAATGGCCTGGAGCCTTTTCAAAATTTTCATATAAATCCCATGAAACATGGGCATCATAACCCATTATATTGATGTCGTAAATGTGATCTGCCACGTCTAAATCTAAAAACGACTTGTGAAATTTTAAATCTGTGCTCATCCATTTCGTTTCGTAACTCCGCGTCAGCAGCCCCGCGTCTGATTCGCTTACCCTTGACAGACATCGCACTCGATCGCCTGTAGTACTCGAAGTACTACATATGTTTTCCACTGAAAGGGTTTACGCAACAACTGTTTGAATTCTATCGCTAATAGCAGATCGATATTTTTATAAAGCGTGCTCTGATTAGCATTATTGGGTCATTTAACTCATGGATCTTGTTTATGTCTGTAAAACATCCTTTCAATATCTGTTCAGCTGTTTCTATGTTAAAGTGTACGTCTTCTGTCTCCTTCATTATCTCATTCTTTGCATTTTCATGTGACATTTGCTGAACTGGAATTGTCGTGCTCTAAAATTAATGTCTTCTTTTAAAGCAATTTCATTTGTCTTTTAAAATAAAGGACTGCCTCTTTGGCCGAGTGGTCGCAAATGCGACTATCGGGCAAGGGGTCTCGGGTTCGATTCCCGGGTCGGGCAAAGTATTACTGGGTTTTAAAAAAAATCTCAGTGGTAGTACGGAGACTGGAAATGTGCCCGGTATATGGCAATAGGCTCACCCCCTATTATATGGGGCTCATAACATAAATAGTGAAAAGTGGGTGTTACTTCTGTGTGTACCTCTGCTTACCCCTTCAGGGATAAAAGGCATTATGTTATGTTATTATGTTTAAAATAAAGGACTATTTTCACCTATGTCCCTCATACTGCATATGTAAGAAAGTGCTATATACTTCGCCATGATGGAAACCCCGTGTAAAAGGCTAAGTAAAATCTATGCAGCAAATTCCGTAAAACTCAATAACATTTAATCGAATGAATGGCTAACAATACAATAACAGAACGAGGGATTCTTTTTTAGAAAAACATAATAAAATGATTCATACCGATATAATTCTCTATCAACTGCTAAACGTAAAGAAATCAAAGTAAAATTTAACACAAACTACTAAATATAAAACACAAACCTTCACAATAGTTCGCTTATCGCAAGTAACAGCGCTATTAACCTATTTTTTGGCGTCGGCTCTTGGACTACCGATTATACAAAGTAACATTTGTATAGTCTAGGAGCTAGATTGTTCTGTTTATTATTTAAGTAGTGGAAAATCGGCTTATTGTGGAAACTGAGCGTAGTTTAATTATACAAAAAGCAAATAGAAGAATTTTTAGTAATGAGTTCGAAATTATAATTAGCTTTTATGTTATCAATATAAGATTATTCCTCACTTATATTTGATACGAGGTTTTTGTGATCGGCCTCTAACCACCGAATCTATATTCCATAGTGCGGTATCTAAAACAGAATATGTTTCTACTCAATCTACACCAAAAGGTTAAAACCCAGTCACACTTATTTTTACTACAAAAAAAACTTCTCAAACAGAAGAAACTAGATAGAATTTCGAGGACAACAAACCAGCTAGATAAACGACTCATTTAAATCTAAAATCAATCTTCTCAATGAATAACTACAAGTACTTAAAACTTATGAACTAAGTTTGGTAAGAGCTGTGAAAGATACTCCTTGGTTACCTTTACTCCTAACTCAAGTTTGAAGTTAAACTTTGAAGCGTTAATAGCAAGAGTTCAAACTCCTTAAACAGTTTCCGATACAAAATTTGATAACAGCCTTGCTGAAGGAGTTTGTGTTACCGTCTGAGTAAGGTTTCTAGTTTCTACTGAGAGGTATTCTGAAAATCAATTTAGTAAATTTTATTTAATATTAATATTCATATTTGTGTAGTTTAAAGTATAAGGTAGGTAGTTCAGAGTGTGGTTTGATTTCAAAATTGTTAGTTGGTTTCAAGTGTAAAATTTTCATATGATAGAACTAATGCATCGACTACTTCGTTGGCCGAGTGGTCGCAAATGCGACTGTTGTGCCGGGCAAGAGTTTAATTTTCGGGGCGGGCAAAGTATTACTGGGTTTTTAAAATAATTCTCAGTAGTAGTACGGAGCCTGGAAATGTGCCCGGTAAATGGCAATAGGCTCACGCCCTATTACATGGGACTCATAACATAAATAGTGAAAAGTGGGTGTTACATTGTACAGTGTCATTAAGTATCATAATGTGCACCTCTACATAGTCCTTCGGGGATAAAAGACCTGATGTTATGTTATGTAATTATATATAACAAAGTTACAAAATCTGGGTCTTGATCTATATATTCGCAACATCGTACAATGACAGATGAGATTTTCAAAGCGAATTTTATCCTCAGGCAGTAGTCACGTTTTATTTAAGCCCCTAACAGAATTCTTCGGCACGGAGGGCAAATCTAGCCGTGACCAGAATAGCGACTGAGGATTCAAAGATGTTTTCAAACCAGGACTAAGCGGACCCAGACTTAGTAGGGATTAGGGAAAAACAGATAAAATGGCGTTAGAAATGTTTACAAAGATGGAAAACTGATTTTTGATGTTCCTTTAAAATATAATCTAGAGCATGCCAAACATTTGTCACCACACAATTCCTTTCATAGGCGACATAAGACCTGACTAAAGGACTACACATTTAGTAGAAACTGGGTAGCAGAACTCTCTCATAAACCTGATCAATTTAAATTGCTATCTGCAACCCGCTTGCAACATTCATAAGTCTAGCAATGATCTCTCGCGGGCTTTTGATAATGATGATGATGATTAAGTGGCAGTTAGTAGGTGCCATCTTTAAAATTAACAACTCATAGGATATTGCATGGTTTCCTTAATATTTATACTACCTCTACACAGTTCCTAAAAGTTGTGTGGCGTAAGCTTAGTTCTTATAATATTTAAGGAGTATATAAAATTGTAAGATTTCCAAATAAAATAAAGTGAGTTAAAATTTTCTTGAAAGTCTTTCATTTTTATCTTGCTCCCGTTTTTTGTATCTTAATCTTTTTTCTTCAAGGCACGAAGTTTAAAGACTATTCAGACCTAAAGTTTAAATGATACATTGTCTATGTATTGATTGTATATGCCAAAATAACTTCGGGCTACAGTATGATACTAATAAGATTCATGAACCACCAAACTGAATTAATGACCATAGCCAGATCAACCCAGCAAATAATTTGTATTCGACCAAGGGACTTAAATTAGTTAGAACTTTCCAACAAGATGGCAGATATTGTATAAAGATGCCCAACGTTGGGGCCAACCGGGGCTGTATTTAATAACAGCATTGATATCTGCTCTCAATGTGACTAGATTGGATTGTGTAACTATATTAGTTCAGGGATCAACCAACTATTGGCGATAACTCAATT